CGCTGCCTCCTGGCAAGGGTGCTGCCCCTCCATCCTTTACACGTTGAGGGGCTGGCTCAGGCTCCTGGCTGGGGTCTGAGAGGAGAAAGAGAGGAGCTCTGGATAGATGAATAGCCATTTAAGAAGAGCTGGGGTGAGCTGGTTAGAAAGGCGACTCAAAGAGGAAGGTGAGAGCAGAGGCCGAGTGGCCCCAACTGATGGGCTATTTGTCCAGTAGCCATTAATGAGTGTTTGATGGAGGATGTTCTTCAAGGGGATGCCAGCCTCTTTAGCAGCCCGTGGCAGAGCAGCCAGGCAGGGGGCAGCCCCATACTCGCTCTGTTCCCTTTTTTATACCAAGTGAAGTAACAGCTGCCTTCTTGGAGGCTCCATAAGCCTGGGCTGAAGGCCAGAGAGGCCTGCCTGCCATCGTGCGGTCCATCCCTGGTGCTCTTTCTCCTCTCCACACACTTGCACCCTCCAGGGACCAGGTCTCTCTCTTAAGGACTATGCAGACTTGCTGTAACCAGCATAGAGATCCCAAGGTAGAAGGTATCTAAAAGCCACAGGCTAAATTACAGGCTCTGTTCTTCTTGGCATAGAAGCAGAGGTTCACGAGGAGGGGGGGTTGGCTCAAACCTTGCTGCTGTGGTACCCTGAGTGGCCAAGGCTTGCAGGATCACAGGTGAAATCCTAAGGGACCACCAATGGACCAGCAGGTGCGGGCTGTTCTGTCACAGAGTGCTTATCCATTGCAGGTGAGCAGTGGGGCTGCCTTGCCTGGATGGCATGTCTCCCCCGCCATAGCGTTGCAGGCACGGCACTAACAAAGCTCTTAGTCTTGCATCCTTCTTCAACAAGTCTCGCCTACGCCTCCATCTAGGAGGAACCTCCCCAAGCGGATGCATCCGACCCTGAAACACTAGCGCTTCTCTCTCCTTCCTTTCTTTAAACACCTACTAAAATAACCCCCCTGTCTCCTCTTGATGTCCGCAGCAGCTTTGTTGAGCTGCAGCATGATAAAGGGAAAATCAAAGCCAAGCGAAAGCTGTCGGCATTGAGAGGCTTTTCAGGCTGTGGGGTTATTTCTCTCGGATCCGCTTTTGTTCTAAACCAGAGAGAGCGAAAGAGAGAGAGAATCTACTAAAGTTTGGGTCATTGCCCTGAACCGGAGGCAGGAGGGGCTGGGGATGATGTGGGTGGTAGCAAGTGGTACCCAGGGCGCTCTGGGTAGGAGCATGGCATTGTGGGCCAGCCTTGTTTTTTGGGAATGGGGACAGACACTAACCTACTGCTTGAGATTTGCAGCATGGGTGATGCCGACCACGAAGAGCAGCCCAAGCTTTATTCTGCTCTGAAGCCTTAATGGGTCGAAGCCCATGGCAGCTCACTCCCAATTGCATCCGTTTGCCACTGTCTCTTCCCCCCCACCCTTGATATTAGTGTCCATAGGTGTTGCCCTGCCTAGTGGCTGGTGATGGTGTTTGCTTAGCACTCGGGTAGCCTCGGGCAAGCTGGCACTGGGACCGTGGGGTAGCAGCCGAGCCAGGGAGGCTGAGTGTAAATGCACCAAAGAGAGCCAGGCTTGTGGGGGTTGCTTTCAGGATCAGAGGGAAGCCTGGAGCTCCCTGGTGCTCAGCCCTCTCTCTCTGGCCCTCCAGGCAGGCAGCTCTGCTGTGGCAATCCATCTCCTCTCTCTTTGTGGCGCCATCTCTCTCTCCCTTCCCATCTCTCCTCCCTGGGGGAAGGCAGCTATTGTTATGGGGTTTGAGATCTGCATATGAAAGCCCCAGTTGCTATGGCACTGGGGAGGCAGGGACACTTACTGCCAAGGACAAAGCCCTGCCTGGACTTGGAGGTCCCTTCCTGGGCCTGGCAGATACCTGAGGCTGCCCACAGGGCTTTCCCAAGGGAGAAGCAAATTGTGAGGGTGGTGCGGATGCCCGACCGCAGATGGGTTGGAAGCAAGACCCTCTGCTGGTGTAAACCCCTGAGTCTTGGCTTCCAAGGGGAGTTTTGAGACTGCATGGGGCCTGCCAGGGCAAGAAGCTGCCAGCTGGGAGCCCTGGGCACCCAGGTTACAAGGCCCCTAGGGTGTCTGGGGCACGGAGAGTCCCGAGGGAGCAGGAAGTACCCAGGCCATAGTGTGGTTGCAGTAGTGTCAGAGTCCTCTGTGGTGCCTGAGCCGCTGGTATTATTTTTAGTGGCAAAGGCCAAAACCAAAGCACTTTACATGTGTGAAGGCTGGAACCTCGCCTAACAGTCCAGGACTCCTGGGTTTTCTTCCCAGCTCCGCCACTGACTTTTTGTGTGGCCTAGGGTAAGGATCCTTCTGCCTTAGCTTCCCCCCACGTGAAGTCATTTTGCCTTCCCATGCCTCAGTTTCCCCATGTGGGTGGTGATACTGATTCTCACAGCAAAAGAGTCAGGAAGGAATTGTACCCAATGGTTGGACTGGTACAGACTGGGGGGGGATTTGCTTTCATCTGTAGCAGGGAATCTCTTGAGCATATATTAACACCTTAATTAGAAGCAGGATGTTGGCTGCGGTGATTCCCCTGCTTTACCTGTGACAGGTTGTGACGTTATGTCTTGTGTCCGGGATGACAGCAGTTTTATGAAGATTTTAGATGATGGATTTGTCCGGGATGATTTGGATAGGGATGCTGTAGCCTCATGGGCTCGATGACCTCTGGAGGTCCCTTCCAGCCCTGCTTCTCTATGATTCTCTTTCATCTCTAAGATAAAAGATGGAGTATTCTGTCAAAGCGATATTACCAATGCCATGGACACATGGCCTTGCAGGGTGTCGTGAAGCTGAATTAACTCACCATCCCAGAGTGCTCTGGGCCCACCCCATGAGAAGTGTGACATGTGCCAAGAGGTACTGACATGCAGCTAAGTGCTGCATTGCTGCTGTAGCCCTGAAGCCTTATCTCAGCATGCCTGAGCCAAGCCGGTGGGTTAAGGGGCTGCTCAGCAGCCCCAGGACTGAGGGTGTGGGGCTGAGATTGCCCCTTCCAAGTACGAGTACGTACCTCGATGGCATTGTGCTTGTTCATGAATCCCTGCCCAGTTCCCATCTGGCATCGTCCAGCCTGGTTATCCCACTAGATGCCAGTCTTTGCCATCTCATTGCTGTATTGCACTCTGGCTATGTCCTGCTCCTGCCTCCCTCCCCACAAGCACTGTTTTCCTGCTCTAAGTCATATATTGCCCTGGGCTGGGAGTCCTGGTGAAACTCCCCCTCACTAGGACAAAGCTATGTAGGGACCCAGGGGTGCTTTTCCAACCGAAGCAGCCAGCACTAGCTTAGAGCAGGGGCAGGATAGTGGACAAGACAGTCCCTTAAATCTAGGGCTAGAAGGGGGCCTCCCAGGTTAGTGAGTCCAGGGAACCACGTACCCAAACTCCGTTAAGAACGGTTCACGGTCACCCTCACATGCAACAACAGGGCACAAGAGCACCCAGCACAGGCAAGCCATAGGCATGCTTGGGATTGTCACCTGCAATACCCCCTGCTTCTCCTTCCAAACCTGCACCTCATCTTATCTAATGAAGATGCCCTCCTCTGCTTGAGGTCTGCATGGTACCGCAGGGAGCAGGGGCTGAGCCCACTCTTTGCCATCTCCAGCACCCGCCGCACCTTGGGTTGCCACCTGCCATCATAGGGTGGGTGCAGCCGGGGAGAGGAGCACAGTGTCCCATCCGCTCTAGCCTGGCACGAACACTTTCCGTGCTTCAGACTGGGCCAAAGGGGCTGGATCTCTTTCCTTCCAGCTGAAAATAATCCTGAGCTTTAGGATATTTTTAAGCGGCTCTGCCACACGCTGGGAAGGCTAAGGGCTGCCTGTGGTGAGTGTCTGTGTCACTGTCTTGGCACGGGGCCGGCCCCAGCCCTCAATGATCACTTTGTTTCTCCTCATCCTCTCCCTGAACCGGCTGGGTCCATGTAGTGTCGCATTGCCCATTGCGGGATCAGCGGCTGACACGCTCCAGGAGTCTCTGGGCTGGCTGCCTGCAGGATCAGGCCTGGGAAAAGTACACAGCTCAGGTCACATGCTGTGAGCTTTCTTGCCCCCTTAACTTGTTGGCGGTGGGAGTGCAGCCTCACAGGAGAGGCTCAGAGCTGGGGGGTGGCAGGCAGAGGCATGGTGAGCCCCAGTACCCCACAGGTATCCTGATGCCTGTGGGTGCCAGCACCTCCCAGGAGAGTGGGGAAGCGTTTCACCAGGGGTGCACAGGGGATTGCTCTACCCCGTGCATTTAACAGGTCGCAGAAGGGACAGTGTGGAGCTGAGGCCACCACTTCCCTTCTGTGCTCACAGCTTCTGGCCTGTCTGTGTTCAAGGCACTTCCCAGCAGAAGTCAGCTCTGCTTCGGCTGCCCCGTGGGGTCGGCATATGGCCATGGGGCTCTCTGTTGAGGCCCTCTGGCTGCATCCTTGGTGCTGGTGGTGATGGCAGGAGGTTTGGAGCCCAGCTGGGATCCTCATAGCCCAGAGGCAGAACTTGCAGTTCTGGTGATCTGACTTTTTTCCTAGGGCCAGGTCCCTGCACTCCCGTTGAGGCATGCTTCAGCTTTGCTGGGGAATGGCAGGAGGGGGGATTGGAGGAGGGCGGGGGGCTAGGAAAGCTTTTTCCCGCTGGCTGTTCTGCTGTTCTAACTCTTGTGTTCTCTCCTTTCTCTCCCTCTGGCCCCTTCCCCTGCTTTCTAAAGAACATAGGAAGCTTCTTGCTGGTAAGTGATGGTGCATCATCCAAAATACCATCCCTCCATCCACCATCAAACCAACCCCCGTAGTCTCTCCACCCCCATCTGGGTTCTCCATCAGACCTGGAGCAATAGAGACCCTCTTGGAGGTGGGTGCAAGCTCCCTCATTCCCATGCACCTCCAAGGGCACTATTGCCATTAGATCACAGTTTGAAAGATGAGCCACCTTTGGGTGCATCTTCCAGATGACTGCTGGGTCTGGCGTACAGCTGTGTCCAGTCGCTAGCCAGCCAGGTGGCTTTCCAGAGCTGGGTTAAAGCAATTGCTTATGCTGAATCTTTCTAGTTTTCTCCTGCCCAGCAGGCGACCGGTAGCCCTGGCCGAATGCCATACAACCTAAACTGTGATCTAATAACCTCTGTCACCTAGTGCCCTCCCCATGTCTGACTCCATCCTCAGCCTGTCACCTTCACCGGCCTCCCATGGGAGTCATGCGCAGGGGTCCCAGATACCCTGTTGGCATCTAGACCTCCCCTTTCTTTGGCATTGCTTGATGTCTCCGAGGCTCTGCAGTTTGGTTTGTTCCATCCCCTTGGCAAGATGGTTCGGATGGAGGGAGCAGGGAGGGTTGGGATGATTGCAGTGTGTGTATGCACGTGTGCTGTGTGTATACAGATGCATGTATGCATTTGCAGGTATGTACATATTTGTATGTACGTACCTGGCATGCAAATGTATTGAGGGCATTACAGGTAGTGAGGGGACAGCCACTGTGGCTGGACATTGAACAAATTGTGAGGGTGGCACAGATGCCCGACCGCAGATGGGTTGGAAGCAAGACCCTCTGCTGGTGTGAATCAGCCTCAACACTGGCTTACTGTGGCCAGATGGACCTGGCCTTTGCTAACAGGACTTATCGCGGGACCTGTGGCTCTGGAACAATTGCCTGCTTTGCTAGGGAAGCCAAGGTCCTGCAAGGCAAGAAGCCTGGGCCCAGCTCCTTCAGTTCTGCTTGTTGTGACCCAGGGCATGTCATGCTTCTCTTCCTGGCTTCCACTTTCCCTCTGAAGATTTGTGAGCAAATGTCCTTGCCCAGAGCTTTATCCTGAGCCTTGGGCTTGCAGTGGAGTTTGAGGTTGAGTTTGTGTGCCTCAATTGCTAGGCATGAATACTCAGGATTCAGCAAGGCTGTCAGCTGAGAGCGTGTCCCATTCCCGCTGAGGTTCCTAATTCCCCTGGGCTGTTGGGGAACTCCCAGCCTGACCTGCTGCTTCAGAGGGGAGGCAGCCGCTGGGCGGTGCATGGACCACAGGGTTTTTTTTTCACAAAACCTGATGCAATCTGGAAGCATCCCAGTGCCCCAAAGGCCCTCCCGTTGGGTTTGCAAAGGAGTTCAGACTCCCAGCTTCCCCCGCTTTGTCATTAGCAGCTCCTCTCTCCCCCTGTTGTCACCCGGACGGGGTGGTGGTTCCCTCCCAGCAAATCCCTGTCATTAAAGCAAACCCTTTTGCATTCTCGGCTGGCTGCTTGGCTTCCCCAAGCAGCCGTAGAGGACAAGGGAAGGGTGCACGGTGTAACCGGCCCAGCCCTGGACGGGTGCCCACTCCTCTGTGATCCCTGGCGCTGGGAATCCCGGGATGCCAGGGGGACTCGCGGCCGGCTCCTTTGTGCGGCGGCTGCCGATATGGAGAGCATGCAAGGAAGGAATTCGGAGTGCAGCTGGGGCTGGCAGCTCTCGTCGCTCCCCCTCCGACCTCTCTTCTCCGCAAACACACCCTGCCTGGCTCTCTCCCCTCTGGCTGGTGCAGTGTGGCCCAGTGATTGCTGTGTGTTGGCGTGCGTGTTGCCACCTTCTGCCGCAGCCAGCATGCTCCTGGGACCACGGTCTGTATGTACCGCCATAGAGCAACAGCCTATGCAGCTTCCTGGAGCCCGGGGATTGGGGCCCTCCTTGGGTCTGTGCGTGTGTGTTTATGGCTAGAGGACCTGTGCGGCGCGTCTCCAGTATGCTCCAGTACCAGGCATCAGGCACGTTCCCTCTCTTTGGCATCACACTGCCCTCAAAAGGGCCATCTCCTCCAAGACCCTGTCAAGACCCTCCTCCAAGTCCCCATCAGCTCATCCCTGCCTATACTCCCAGCCAGAAACTTTCTGTGAGGAAGATACAGCATGGCCTCGAAGCAACCTAACCACCCATGGGGGTAGAACGGCCCCCGCGCTCCCCTGGGCATGCACAGGGGCAGGATTCAGCTTTTGGAAACTCTGTGCAGAGGTTCGGTACTGAGTGTCTGCTCTTTGTTAGTTGGCCGTGGATGTTGGCGGCTGCTAGGGAGCTCGTGGCTGCTAACGGGGCACCCTGACCAGCTCGGATTGCTGCAGATGCCCGGCTGGCAGTGACTCGATGCTGTCCTGGACTTGAGGAACAGTCGATTGCCATCTTCTTTACAGCAATAATCCTGGGCTCCTCTCCTTTGCACCCACCTGTCCCTCACTTGTGTGTCTATTTCCCGCTCAGGTCAGCAATGGGGCCAAGGCAGGACACTGGCCTGGGTCCCACCAGAGTCTGGGGAAGATCTGATTTGGATGTTACTGCCAGCCTGAGCATCTGTGCTTGACTGCGCTGCTCGGCATTACAGGCTTGGATTTAGCCCTGGAGGTGGTGGCTTGGGCTTATCTCTGGTTGAAATCTTTGTGTTGCTCCCTGTTTGTACTTTGCTGGGGCGCTGGGCTGCACAGAGCAGCAGGGCTGGGTCAGGGGGCTGTCCGGAGACCCTGACTCGCTAAAGCACCTTGGGAGATCAAAGTATATTGCGAGATGCCTCCAGCTTGTTCTGAAATGGGAGCAGAATAGGACTGGGATCAAACCCAGCCCAACAGCATCCCCTGCCGGCTAACAACTTCAGGAGGATGGTGCAGCACGAATGACTTTCAAACCCAGTGGGTGCCTGGAGCTACGCCGCTAAGTGCTTCCAACAGCTTCCCGGGCAGGGAGGGCTGTCAGAGGTCTCCATCTGCTGTCGGCTGCCGGGCCTCCTCCCCGCTCCGCGGCTCCGTTCCCCCGGGACCGGCGGGAGCGTATTGTGTTCTGTGCCCAAGACAATGGGGCTCATATTTTATTTACACGTGCGTGTGGCAGCGCGGTGTCTGCTAGCTCGCAGCACAATAGCAGGACCCTGCTTGCCTCCCCTCCGCCCAGCCGGGTCTAGGTGGCGGGAGGGGGAATGGCCGGCGACCCACTCGCCCACCCTGATCTCCATTAAACAGGCACGGGCATTTCTATGCAGTGCATGCTGGCGTCTTCTGCACTGAGTCTTCCTCATCTAGACAAAGGGATGCCTTTTCCTCTTCCTCTGACACTCATCCTTTCCTGGGCACATATAGGGGCAGGCGTTTCTCCTGGCAGCATCACCCCCACCCTGCTGCTTGCCCCTGTTCAGACCCTTTTCAGAGCCCAGGATCTTCAGGAAGGGAGCAAAGTAGCGAGTTAGCTGGTTGTGGTGTGTGTTTGCAGGGAAATTGCCCTCCTTTCCTGGTCTCCTCTTTTACGAGGCCTGAGTCTTAATGCCAACCCCGCTGCCCTGTTCCAGTCCACAGCACCTCCAGCCCCGTCCTTGCCTTCGGGAGCTGCTCCCATCTTCTGTGGCTGTTTCCTCTCTTCCAGTAGTGCTTCCTCCCTGCCCCAAGCAGTCTAACTTGCTCCTGGACTCCTAGGGCTGGGGGAGATATAGCCAACTGGCTTCAGAGAGGGGCTGTGTGGGGGGAAGGAAAGGTGTATAGAGAGTAGAAGGTCTTTTGTACCCTGTGCACACACGTGTCCTGCCACCTTAAACCCAGAGGCTTAGGAAGACTCTAGGGGGATGCACTCAGTGCTTGCAGGGAGAGATGCCAGCAGCCGCCTCTGCAGGAGCCAGGGTGAGATGGTCCATGCTTGCTCACATCCAGGAGGGCTGGCAGGGCACAGCAGGAGATATTTAAAGCCTCTTGGCGGGGAGCAGCCTTGCACCGCACTGCCATGTTGGAGCACCGGGTCACTGTCTGCCTGGCCCGTCACCAGTGGGGAGGTGAGGCCAGGTGTAGGAAGGCAGGGTCACCTCTGCTGTGAGGTTGGAGGGGGGTGCCCAGGGTCCCCTGCAAGGCCCATCACCCTGTGCCACACTGATGCCATGCCCCACACAGACAGGAGCCTGCCGGGGTCAGTGCACCTCTGCAGGGGAAGAAGGAAAGAGCAGCCGTGTGCCTCCTTTGCCCCAGCTCCGTGCAGTCCTGGGAGGCCTGCCCCATGCTGGCGCTGCAGCTCCTGCCCTGAGGTCTCTCTGGTTTATGGGAAGTTGTTCACAACAAGGCTCGAAAACCAGCAACCAGGAGCTGCTCCGATCTGAGGCCTGTGCCGGCTCCCCTTGGCTGGGAGCCCAGTGCTGCACAGTCCCGTGTGTGCAGCTCACAGTGCTTACGGGCATAACTCTGGGGTTTGTGGCCCGCAAAGGGAGCCCCAGGGCCAGACTGTGGCTGGGGACTGCTCCCTTTCTTCCCTGCCTTTCACTGAAGGGCTGGGGTGCTCTGCAAACTGCCCCCCAGAGCATGTAACACAGTTTAAGTGCCAGGGAGAGCTGCTTCCACCTGGATCCTTCCTTTGAGGATGCCGTAGCATCCTTTACTGGAACCTGCTCTGTAAAGGCAAGAGGCACTGGGCAGAGATGGGTAGATCAAGTCCCCTGGGGCTAACAATGAGGCCCTCATCATCCAGAGGGGGAAACTGAGGCATAGAAGATAGACGCTGAGCTGCTTGGAAAGGATTTACTGCTGTGCTGGCATATAAGTGTTTCTGAATAGCCAAGAGGCCATCTGGGACCTTTGCAAGCCTTGTTCCCTGCCCAGCTCACCATAGCCTAGCTCCTTTGATTCTTGCTGCCTGTCTATCTGCCTGCCTTTGAGGCTGTATATTAGTTTCCCAGCAGATGCCCTGTGGTACCCAAATCCAGGCAATCCTTATCTCCTGGCAGGACATACCTGTGCTTGACTGAGGTTG